TGTACAATATAGACATAACACTTACAATAAGGTAGGTTTACTATTTTCAAGGAATTATTTCGTTACTTTTTAGTGTACTGTTTTTTTTGCCTAAGATGTCAGCAATTACAGCATATTTTTGAATAAATCTTTTTTTAATAAAAAGCCCTACAGTAAGGTCATGCTTTAGACTATATATTTACACGCCATTAAACTTATGGGGAAAATATTTTGGATAAAAACCCCAATGTGGGAAAGGGACCATACGTTGCTGCCAACATCAAAGAAGCAATGTCGCCATGGTTTGACATCATGTCATGTCATTTTGACACTTGCAATTGATAATTTGACAAATGTAAACAATAAAATGTAATTTTTATAATTTTATGCGGATGAAGTCGCATGGGAACAGCTAGTTCCGTCATACAAACGCTGTGCTGGCTCCCTTTTGTCATAATTTTGTAGTATTACGCATTTTTGAATAGGTCCGTGTAATTTCTTTGTAGCAATAAATATGTATTCTATTCAATTCTATATTGCAATATTTAAAAGTAAAAGTGGTATAGCCCGCTTTAACATCTTTGCATTGTAGTACTTACCTACTTATTACCACGACCACATAAAAGACAGGCGTGAAGTGGGAGCAATTCCGCGTACACACTGATCTGTGTGCTGTAGGACTAATTTTAGTCTACTTCCCCTTTCCATTTTCATTTGGGAAATGATGCGAAGGGGAAATATGTTTGGTAGGGAATGGGACGCATAGATATGGAGATATCCCTTTTTCTATGCGCATATATTACATGTAGGTAACATCTGCATATCTACGAAATATCAGGGAGTGGACGAATATTGCCAGTGTCATCTCCCCTGCCTTATTCTACTCCCGTAGGGTCGGCGCGCCGGGTTTTCGTCCTCCAAAGCACTCTATCATCCGTCATCTCAGTCATCACTCCCTTCTTGATCATGTCACCTTTCACGCAATCCATCCATCTCTTTCTAGGTCTACCTCTACCGATGTACCCCTTCACATTCATAACTAACATCCAGAATATTGCCAGCGTAGAACACCTGGCACAAGACAGGGAAAAGTTCGCTGAGCTGATGGCCAAGCTCCATTAATGGAGAGGCACTAAGAGAGAGAGAAAACGTCTGCATATTCGAATGTCAAAGCCGATTCCTTTTTTGGCATCTTTTTTTTTATAATATTCTATGTCATATGTCAACTTTATATTATGTTTTGACGCAGTCGTGATAGCACCGCTGCCACCGGGTCAAATATATTTGTTGCACTATACGTGAAGCAAAAAAGATTCATCATAACTATTTTAATAAAAACGGCTTATATATAATCAAAACGAATAATGAATTCATAAAAACGTGTTGAAATATATTAATACATGTTCAGTGGTCATTTGACCTTGATGTGTGACCTCACGCGTAACCTCGTTTCCTACGTCTATGTTTATCAGGATATTTTCCTTATAGCAACGTATTACTGAGAATTTTAAAGAAACTTGTATGATATCTATACGTGAAGAGCAAATTTAGCACATTTTAAGGAAATTAAGAGTAATAAATATAAAGAATTGAATAAAGCTATTTGTATACTAGCTTTTGCCCCCGACTCCGTCCGCGTGGTATTAAAAAAACAAAAGTGATGTGTCTATGTGTTCTTCCAAGCTATCCTCTACATCTAAGCGATATTTCATCGAGATCCGTTGAGCCATTTAGGCTACAAACTGTAACAAACATCCATCTATCTAAACTTACGCATTTATAATATTAGTAAGGCTATCAACCACGATTCCATTCGCGTGGAATTAAAAAAAACACAAGTAAGTATACGTGGTCTTCCAGAGGAAGAGGAAAGATTTTTATTTTTGTATGTATTGAAAAAACTCAAAAACTACTGGGCCGATTTTAAAAATTCTTTCACCATTAAAAGCTACGTTATCAGTTAGTAACAGGCTATAGTTTTTATTTACAGCAACAAATAGTCACTGATGTATTTCTTACAGCGTCAAGGTTGCGGTTGGCGCAATCCAAATGGCGTTGGTTTCCGTATCACTGGGGATAAAGATGGTGAATCCAAATTCGGAGAATTCCCTTGGACGGTTGCTGTTCTGAAGTAAGTATACATTTCGTCAAAAACATTCTTTTGTCAATGTAATTTCATGACCATAGTAGTTTAAAATACTTAACTAAGAAATTACCTCAGATCTTACAACTATTTCATACAATAAATTACACTCTGTATCACCCGGTATCATCACCTTCTTCTTATACCATTCCCGTAGTGGCGCAACAGGTTTTTATCCTCCATCATCTCAGTCATCACTCTCTTCTTGATCACCTTTGCTCAATCCGTCTTTTTCTATGTCTACCTCTACCGGTGTATTTACGATCTTCTTGTTACATGTAGTTGTTGCTTGCGACTTCGTCCACGTGAAATTTAAATATATAGCCTATGTTACACAGAGTTAACTTAGCTTTCTAATAGTGAAAGAATTTTTGAAATCAGTCCGGTAGTTTTTAAGTTATTCTAAAACAAACAAAAGTACAAATCTTTCCTCTATATTAGTATAGGTATGTTAAGATGGATGTGTGGTGTGACAAGAATGGATAAAATTAAGAATATGTACATTAGAGGAAGTTTGAAAGTAGCGCCAGTGGTGGAGAAATTGAGAAGCAAAAGGTTAGCGTGGTATGGACATGTTATGCGAGACGATGGGGACATAAACCAGAAAGTGTTAGATTGAATGTGGATGGCTACAAAGGAAGAGGAAGACCGAAGAAAGTATAGATGGATTGTGTGAAAGAGGATATGCTTAAGAAAGAAGTGGATTTAGATTTGACGGCTGATAGAGATGTATGGAAGAGCAGCACATACTGTGCCGACCCTCCGTAAGGGATAAGGGCAAGTGGATGATGCTGATAATATTAGTATAGGTAACCTAATAACATGTCCATACCTAACCTACAAGTACCCTATATCATCAGATTTCATCTACCCACTGTTGAACATTCCCCTTCCTTTCTTCTTATATCTGTATGTATATTTCAATTATCTAAAACACTTTTTACTATCACGATATCTACAATACATAAGCCCTTCTGTTTTGTTTGCATTTTTATTGTACAGCTTTTTTTACAGATTTTAATTTTCTTTATAGTCTTAGTGTTGCAGTCTTTGCCTTAAAGCGTGCACAGATTTGACTAAAATATCGCATTACTGTTTAGTCTGGCTCTGATTTCTATAAACTTATATTGAAGTGTTATTCTTTTTTTAGTTGTACAACTAAACAATTTAAAGCTGCGAAACAATCGACAATCGAACAGTTGTGCGATACTTCAGTCAAAGACTACGCCCATATCTTTTCCATAGAATTCCCATTACCACGTTTTCTTTTGATTTCATTATACCCCGTATGATACTAACAAATTAATATAATGTGAAGCTCTGATTACATTGACCCCAGGATCGAGCCTGTCAATGAGAACGAACCGAACGGTCAGAAACTCAACGTATACGTTGGCGGGGGTTCGCTCATACATCCCAGTGTAGTACTCACAGCGGCACATTACGTGGCGGGAGCGAAAGCATTAAGAGTCCGCGCTGGGGAATGGGATACACAAACTACTAAGGAGATATACCCGTACCAGGATCGGGATGTTACCAAGATTGAAGTCCACAAAGACTTTAATAAGGGTAAGCATAAAGGTTGTCGCGCATTACTCCACTTGTCCATACGATACCGTCTCGATACGTTGACACTTCGACGTCAATGATTGCAAGTACTAACTGTTGCTCACGACTTTACCCTCGTGAACTTGCTGATAACATACCTTTTTAATGGTGAAAGTTTATTTTAAATCGGCTTTAAAATAAGTTGTATAAATACATACAAAAATACTATAATAATATTAGTATAGATAATTTAATCTTATTTTTTTTCTTTTCCCTTTTCACCCTTTTATTAAAAGGAAAGGATGTGTAGAAAAAGTGGATTTGACGGTGGAGGAGACGCATAGGAAGGGGAAATGTCCTCTTTATGTGCGTCTCCTCCTCCGTCAATGAAGGGTAGGCAGCGCATCTGCAATTGCAGATGTTTATGGCCAGCGGTCGCTTTCCATTTCGGTGGATTCAGGTGATATTATAAAAATATTCCACCTTATACTAAAAATTGCCACCTCTGTTGGTGGCACCCAAGAGGCGGTCACCACCAGAGCGATTGGAAATCGGATAGAGAAGTGCCGTGTTTAGAAGTTGAGCAATGTGCGATGACCTTAAGTAGGAATTGACACAGAAATGTAAAGAACTGAAATAATCTATGATTTTTAGGTAATTTGTTCTACGATATCGCACTTCTCTTCCTTGCAACTCCAATGGATTTGGCTCCCAATGTTGGTGTAGCTTGCTTACCTCCACCTCGTGAGCGCCTCGCTGGTGGTACGAGATGCTTCGCCACCGGTTGGGGGAAAGACAAATTCGGGAAAGAAGGACGTTATCAAGTTATTCTCAAAAAGGTATATATTTTTATAAAACTAGCTTTTACCCGCAACTCCATCCGCATGGAATAAATCAAAAGTAAACAAAAGGCCATTTTTAAACTTCTATATTCTAACAAGACTAGCTGTCGCCGTGCGGCTTCATCCGCAATGAAATTATAAGAACCTTATTTTATTATTTACATTTGTCAAATTCTCAATTGCAAATGTCAAAATTACCGTTACCATAATAACCTTGCTTCCTTCATGCTGGCAGCTTGTAGTTGATGGTCCCATTCCCACTTGAGGGTTTTTTGTCCAATTTATTTACCCCCTAAGTTTAATAGCGTGAAAATATAGCCTAAACCGTGTTGTAATATATATATCAGCTACCCTTCAGTGAAAGTCCCGTCAAAATCGGCCCAGCCGTTTCGGAGATTACCCAGAACAAACGTGGCTTACGGACTCAAAACAAAAATAAACAAATGCGATTTTCGGTTTTAACAACGCAAATACACCTTCGTGGAATACGAAATTTTCCTTTCGATATTACAGACACTGCAATTTTATTATATGTATACGTTTCACTATTTGGCTCTTATTTCACAGGTTGAAGTACCAGTTGTCGACCGAAACACTTGCCAAGAGAAACTCCGATCAACACGATTGGGTCACTTCTTCGAGCTGCATACATCTTTCATGTGCGCTGGAGGAGAACCTGGCAAGGATACGTGCAAGGGAGACGGAGGAGCACCTCTTTCTTGTCCTATACAGGTAACCAAAGAGTTGAAAAACATATAGAGTAGGCATTGACACTTCAATTGACACATTTTTCAAATCCACTAACGCTATCTATTATAGTTTGTCTAAATAAGATAGATTAGTTTGATAAATGACGCATTTGAAGTATCGAATTCAATTTGTAGGCAAATGCCATACTTAATAGACAGGTATCGTAGTGACGAAACAAACTCGCAGCGAACAATTTTGAACTACCGATATTCGGTTTTATTATTTTCTTATTCATTAATTTATAGGACAATTCTAGTATTGATTATAATGTAGAGAATTTAGCGATGACAAAAATAATAGCGAAATCCAACTCGATTACGTACGGCTGTAGTAGTAATAAACATTTATTTACTCTCATTATTTGTTATGGTAATTATTAATTTGAAAAATCAGTGTTTTTTTTAATTCATAAGCTATAAATCTATCGATCACAAGTTTTACAAGAAAAAAAAATCAAAAATCGATAATATTTATGACTGATTTTACACAACCCATCCCTACTAAATTTCAAATGAGTTGTCAAACTAATCTAACTTGTTTAGACAAACTATAAAGGCTGCCAACGCCCATTTCGTCTGATAAGATAGCTTTTTAATAGTACAAGAATATTTGAATACATACAATAATCCAAAAATACAAATCTTTCCTTTTTATAATATTATTAAAGAAGTGAATTATGACCGAAGCCTAGTTCCACTATCTTCGGGTGTTTTTAACTCTTTTTTTGTTTTTTTTTTTCTAGTACGAAACCGACCGTTACATGCAGAGCGGTATCGTAGCTTGGGGTGTCGGCTGTGGTGAGGACGGTACCCCAGGTGTTTACGTAGACGTGTCTAATCTACGAAACTGGATAGACGATAAAGTCGCCGGAATGGGACATGACCCTAAGGTCTATACTATCTGAACTTAAATAAAAACTTTTATAAATAAATGAATTGTTGAACACCTTTGTTTCATTATTACTGACAGTGGTAGTGCCCGTTTTAACATCTTAGCACTGCAGGGCCGGCACGCCCCCAGTAATACCACGACCACACAGAAGACAGGCGTGAAATGGAAGCAATTCCCTGTACAGTTTGATGAGTGTGGTGCCAGAGGCCTAATTTTAATCCCTTTCTCTTACCACCCTTTTCTTATAAGGAGAGGGTGGGAAGGGGAAGCGGATTTGACGGTGGAGGAGATGCGTAGGAAGGGGAAATATCCACTTTATGTGCGTCTCCTCCACCGTCAAATCCCTTTCTCTTACCACCCTTTTCTTATAAGGAGAGGGTGGGAAGGGGAAGCGGATTTGACGGTGGAGGAAATGCGTAGGAAGGCGAAATATCCACTTTATGTGCGTCTCCTCTGTCGTATAAGGGTAGGCAACGCATCTGCAATTGCGGATGTCTATGGGCAGCGGTCGCTTCGCCGTGTTGACGGATTCAGGTGGCCGCTTGCTCGTTTACCGGCTTCTGTCGGCTTATGTTATAAAAAAAATTATGTTTTAAGCTGCACATATAAAAAATTCCGTAATGCGGAATTTCCAATGGTAAAAACCGTTGTGGGTTTAATAACCACACATTTTTTCGTAATCAAAACAAGGAAAACAACACACAAAACAATCAATTTACCGTTTTAATATCGAATTGAACCATTGATCTATGGCTCAACATAAATTTGCAGCTCACGGCTCAACGCTAATCTGTAATCTGTACTTCTATCTCTATCTATACTTAGTATAATAAAGCGTAAACACACACTTCTTTGTTGCCTAAGATGTCAGCAATTACAGCATATTTTCCAATAATTCTTTTCTTAATAAAAAGCCCTACACTTCCGTCACGCTTTAGGCTATATATTTTCACGCCATTAAACTTAGGGGGTAAATAGTTTGGATAAAAACCCTAATGTGAGAAAGAGACCACAAGTTGCTGCCAACATCAAGGAAGCAAGATTGCCAAGTTTTGTCATGTCATGTCATTTTGACATTTGCTATTGACAATTTGACAAATGTAAACAACAAAATAAAGTTTTTATAATTTCATGCGGATGACCGCACGGGAACAGCTAGTCAAGTATGTTTTGGGTTGAGCTTCACGCTGATTTACTGAGCTTCATACATGCAACGGCGGATCTAGGGCGGGGGAGTCATGTGGGCCATGACCGCCCCTGTGCTGGATGGTAAGAGCTTGACAAAATATATTTAAATGTTTTGTCAAGCTCTTGACTTCACCACGACTATGTGACCCCCTCCTGGCGCCAAAGATGGCTCCGCCCTTGCATACATGCCGTGATCTGATCTGTAGATCATTTTTAGTATAGTTGTACTTAGAGTCCTTCAAGCAAGTATATTCACAAAGCAACCTGCAGTTCGTCTGATATTGAGGCTATGCGTCGATAATCCCACTGTTTATTTGCTTCTTCTCTTACAAAACAATTGCTTTGCAATTAATTACGAAGAAACATTTGTTATTCGACAAATAAAATGAAAATTATGTTAAGTTGGTAGTTTTTTAATTAAAAATGGTAGAACGGTAGAATATAATTGTAAACATAGTTGGCAACACTGTTTATCGTAATAACCTGTTCTGAACTTATGTTTTATTTTCCTTATAATTATTTGAACTTTACAATCGTGGTCAAATACGTCGCGCTGGTTTTAGATAAAGTATTTATAACAACGGAAAAACCAAAATGGGGTGAGTAATGTTGAAATCATCACATTTAATTACATATTATAAGATAAGTAGAGAATGTAAATTTGTATTGTGTTTACAATAAAGAAAACAAAAGAATCAGATTAAGAAACTGTAAATTGATACTGGCTGTCGCCCGCGACACCGTCCGCGTAAAATTAAAAAAACAAAATGAAGTAACCTATGACTATGTGTTCTTCCAGACTATCCTCTATATCTGTGACAAATTTCATCGAGATTCGTTCAGCAGTTTAGGCTACAAACAAACATCCATCTAAACTTTCGCATTTATAATATTAGTGAGATTGTAAACAGGAAAAAAATGTAATTTTGTCTGTATTGGATTAATTTAACACTACTGTGTCGATTTAAGTTATCGCATAACAGGTATATTATTAGATTTTGTTTCAAACGAAGTCGCTTGCAACCACTAGTGTTAAATATAAACCTTTCTTTAAAACCAATGTGTCATGGCGCTGAGTAACGCAAAGAAACTTTAAATTTGGCTACCTTTCAACTGTGACTCTTTCCGCGTGAAATCAAAGAAACAAAAGTAGCCTATTTGCTTTTCTAGACAATACACATCTATGTCAAATTTCATCGACATCCTTTCAGCAGTTTAGGCTACAAACTGCAACAAACCATTGATCTAAACTTGCGCATTATCTACACTATTATAATAAAACGTAAACACACACTTCTTTGTTGCCTAAGATGTCGGCAATTACAACATATTTTTGAATATTTTTTTTATAAAAAGTCCTAAACTTACGTCACGCTTTAGGATATATATTTTCACGCTATTAAACTAAGGGGTTAAATATTTTGGATGAAAATCCTAATGTGGGAAAGAGACCATAAATTGCTGCCAACAAGGAAGCAAGATTGCCAAGGTTTGTCATGTCATGTCATTTTGACATTCGCAATTGATAATTTGACAAATGTAAACAATAAAATAAAATTTTCATAATTTCATACGGATGAAGCACGGGAACAACTTGTAATAAATAAAATAAGGTATTATTTTTAATTTAATAAAGTGACGGAGAACTATCGCATTTTTTAAGTTTTTTTAGCCAGCGCTTCACCACGATCTCAACTATTGTGAGTGAAGATGTGGTCGAAAGATGGTACGCGCGATATTGTACGTATCTGAATGTTGGGCCACGAAAGTTGCGAGTGAAAGGAGATTAAATTAAGAATCTGTATCAGGCTTCTTGTACTCTTATTATTGGTCTCGTTCATTATCTTCAGTAAAACAATAGGAATATTCACAGTGTAATCATCATAGTGTACTTGTAATCATTTACAGGTACATCGGTGCGAATATTGTCTTCGCATTGATCCTTTTGGCGGGGAACGACCATGTTTCGGCGCAAACGGTCATTGACAGTTCGAGTCCTGACGTTAATGCTCTAGGTACGTTACCATGCTATGCCATTCTAAGATTATAAAGAGAAAAGATTTGGATTTTTGTATATATTGAAATAACTCAATAACTACTGGGCCGATTTAAAAAATTCTTTCACCATTCAAAAGCTACGTTAACAGTGTATGACTACATTTTTTGTGTTTTTTAAATTTTGATTTTTAATATAATATAAGTTGGCAAACGAGCAAGCGACCGCCTGAATCCACCGAAATGGAAAGCGACCGCGGCACGTAAATACGCAGATGCGTTGCCTACCCTTAATTGACGGAGGAAGAGACGCACATAAAGAGGACATTTTCCTTCCTATGCGTTTCCTCCACCGTCAAATCCACTTTTCCTTCCCATCCCTTACTCATAAAAAAGATTGGAAAGTAAAAGGGACTAAAATCAAACCTCCAAATTCCACGCAGACGAAATCGCAAGCAACACCTTGTACATTTCAGAGTTCATATTTATGTAATTAAATAGAAACATAGTATGGTTGAAGAAATTATCACAATGAGATTAGTGCAACCAGCTTATTTGACCCGGTGACTATTTACATTATATTATATAAACTGTATATTATTGTATACATTGCGTAAAACTTTTAGTTGTTAATGTCAAAAATCAAATGAACGAGTGACAACGAATTTGCCGTTGGCTGAGAGTTGTTTATGAGTAACCATGGCAACCTTCTTTGATACTATTGGCTTATAAGTCCCTTTCTTGTATGACTCGTTTTAATCACACTTACTAATAATATGAATGCGACAGTTTAGATGGATAGATGTTTGTTAGAGTTTGTAGCCTAAACGGCTCAACGGATTTCGATGAAATTTGGTATAGATGTAGAGAATAGTCTGGAAGTACACATAGTCTACTCACTTTTGTTTTCTTTTTAATTCCACGCGGACGGAGTCGCGGGTGAAAGCTGGTTAAAGATAATTGTTTAAAATGTGCTGTGATTACTGACATCCTATATATTTGTTTATGCTTTATTATATTATGTACTAGCGTTAGCCTGCGACTCAGCCCGCGTGGATTAAACTAAAAAAAGAAAGCATGTGTTCTGCCAGACTATCCTATACATTTGTACCAAATTTTAACGAAATCTGATAAGCATTTTAGGCTACTAACTCTAACAAACATCCATCCTAACATTCGCATTTATAATATTAGTAAGATTAACAAATATCTAATAGTAACCTAATAAATAGATAACAAAGATAATTTAAATCATCTTCAGGTCCTAGCTGTTTGACGCCGGACGGCAAAGTCGGGGTCTGTGTGCCTAACTATCAGTGCAACTTCGAGACCAATTCTGTCGACCCCGGAGCGACGATAGATCTGAGGTTAGTCTAAAATATACCCAAGTGGAAACACAAGAGGCTGGGGCCAAGGGTATTTGTAAGATTTTATTGACGGTATATATTGAAAGAGCGTCGGTGGCTCAGTGGTTTAAGCACTCGACTTGTAATCTACAGGTCTTGGGTTCGAATCCCGCCGTGTACCTCGTCTATATTTTCGATTTATCGAATTTTCATATGTACATAATTTACCCGACGTTCTTACGGTGAAGGAAGACATCGTGATGCAACCTGCATATATCGGCGAAGAAATTCAAAGATATGTGTGAAATCGCCCAACCCGCAGTGCAGCGTTGTTGACTATGGCCTAATCACCCTAATTTAGGGTAGGTTCCGAGCCCCTCGGTGGGGACATATAGTGAGCTGGTGATGATGATTATGACATATTGAATACTTTGCTGTCTGCCGTTGCACAATTCGTTGCCGCCACAGATTAAAAATATATATAGAGTAGGCATAGTTTGTCAACTACAACTTGAAACATTTTTCACTAATTCTATCTATTAATGATTTTCAAAACCACTTTGTATTTAAATTAATTGCCAATCTTACTTCTTACTAATATTATAATTGCGAAAGTTTAGATGGATGGATGTTTGTTAAAGTTTGTAGCCTACAGCTGAACGGATCTTGATGAAATTAGGCATAGATGTAGAGTATGTTCTTGAAGAACACGTGGGCTACTTAGTTTTTTTAATTCCATGCGGACGAAGTCGCGGGCGAAAGCTAGTTGGGAAATAAAATAATATTTAAATGCTTATATTTTATGTTTTAACACTGTTTAGTTTATTTTTGTAAAATGTTTTATTGCATGTCAACACAAGAACAAAAGGTAGGGTTGAACTTGACAACTGATATAGTACCTTTCAGATAAATACCGGTGAAAAAATGTTGTTCACTATGCCTCATACATTAAATGTCTTTAGTTGCGTTGTTTGCAGCTACCCATCCTTAGAATATCGGCTAGTGACGCCCATGATTGATATATCTGATTTAGAATAGATTTTTACGTCTTGACTTTAGGACGCAGTCTTGCCCGCACTATCTCCAGATCTGCTGCCTACGTGAGGAGATGGCAGGAAGTAAGACTGTAGAGAAAATACCGCAGTGTGGATTGAGTAACCCAGGTGCAGTGGAATTGAAGGCTAAGCCTACATTAGTGGGGGAAGCTGAATATGGAGAATTTCCGTGGATGGTTGCTCTGTTAAGGTAAATTGTGCCTCGTACAATAGATGGCGCTGCAATAAAATGCTTTTAGCTTTTTAAGTATTTTAATTTCGTTATAATGATTGAATTTAAATTTAGGATATTAATAAATTTTTCAAATAGTGCAAATTTAAATACATTAAAACCTCCATAAGTTAAAGTCCAAGGGAAACACAAGATTTTTTTAAGTTATAGAGGTTTTAAGTTATCAAGGGTCTATGTTGTAGAGGTTTTGGGCTCTGATGGGAAGGGAACATATTAATTTTTGAAGTTATAGAGGTTTTTAAGTTACCGAGGTATGAGTTATCGAGGCTCTGTATTTTCAAATTAATATTGTTTCGGGACAGGGGCATGAGCCAAATCGACGGAGGCTTAAACTACTTTGGAGGGCTTAGACTTTGTAGATGATACTCAAAAAGGACGAAACAGCGAACATTACCAAATAAATATATTTTTTCTTCAAACGGGCGTACCTCTGAAGCCAACTACTGCCGTTAATCTTTACCGGTGTCTATTGGCGTTGATAAACACGTCGGTGTTTGCGCGTTCGTTTGCTCCCTTATCTTTTAAAATACAGAACAAACATTCATTTTACAGATCTACAGCACCGGATCAAGCGTGGTCTCAAGATGATTATATAGGAGGTGGTTCTATCATACATCCTAAAGTCGTGCTCACTGCCGCCCATAAAGTAGCACGTTACACCGAGGGTGAAGTAAGTCAGTTGATTACTTGCTGTTGTTTGCCTTTTCCGCGATTAAAAAATAAAAACATTCTGGCCTGTATTCAAATACATTTAAGAAATATAGACAAGGCAGTGAACAAAACTTTTTCACTGGTACTTTCTCTGAAAGGTACTATATCGGTTGTCAAATTTAGTTCCACCTCGTGTCTGTATTGACATGTAATAAAATATTTTACAAAATTATAATAAGCTCCATCTTTTGTTATTTAATAATAATGTGAATAACGTTTCAAATGAAGTGTCAACTATGCCTCGTCTATATTTTTTAATCTATTTGCCTGAACTCAATGATTTCGCTTTCCAAAGATATTTGAATTTTTACGTAGTAATATTTTGAGTCATTTCCCCTTCCCTTTCTACTTAAAGAAAAAGATGGAGGGTAGAGGAAGAGTTAAAAGTGAAAAAGACCACAAGTGAAGCAAGTATATTGAGATATGACGTTTAATAGATATGTACGGAGGAATGCATGCTATGCAGACACTAGGGAAAATTATACGAAACCAAAGAAAAATGAAAATTAGATAATTTTTTCTACCATAATTTGCAGATAAAATGTCGCGCCGGTGAATGGGACACTTCCAACACGGATGAGAATTTCTTAACACAAGAACGACAAGTTGAAAAAATTGTTCAACACGAAGATTTCTTCGATCGTAAGTTTTCAAATAACTTTATTTAAATAAAAACCAAAAGCTCCGGATTTTTTAAATAGCGCCATCTATTGTCTACATTTTAAAACAATAACTGGCAAACCTCCCCGGCTTCGCATGGATTATGACATAAAAATGTTTATATACATAACATAAAGCCAAAATTAAAAATTTTGAACTTTTCACAACATGTCTAAAACAAAAATGCCATAAATTATATCACTAGTGAGATTACAAATTGTTGTAATTCGCAATCTGATGGTAACATATAATTCCAGTACAAGCGTACAACAATATCGCATTGTTGGTATTGAAGGAGGCTTTCTCGTTCAACGATGCCCCGCACATGGGCATAGCGTGCGTAGGCAAGGTGCTGCCTCCACCGGGCACGCAGTGCTTTACTATGGGCTGGGGCAAAGAGTCGTCTGGCAAATATGCAACAGTATTAAAAAAGGTAAATAATTAACAATTGTGTACGCTTTATTACATTTGTATAGAATATAGATATATCTAATGTTCTTGTGGCTTTATTCAACAGATCCAAATGCCATTGATCGATTCTGACGAATGCCAACACACGTTACGCAACACAAGGCTCGGCTCCCGGTTCCTGCTGCATCCGAGTCAAAGCTGCGCCGGCGGGGTGGCGGGGGTTGATACCTGCAAGGGGGATGGAGGTTCCCCACTCGTCTGTGATGTTGGAGTATGTTCAAATTATTTTTACTGCAATGATAAAGTTAAGATGGATGTTAGAATGTAGCCTAAACTGCTGAACGGATTTCGATGAAATTTGCCATAGTTGTAGAGGATAGTCTGGAAGAACACATAGGCTACATACTTTTTTTTTAATTCCACTCGGACGGAGTCGCGGGCGAAAGCTAGTTTAATAATAAAAACACAGTGTGATTGCTGACATCCTACATAACTAAGAAGTTTTCGATCCGGCCCTTATGACCCGAGTGTCGGTAGGGCCATGGGTGGTGGTGGGCTGACAGTATAACTAAGTAATGTGTGTTTACCCTTTTTATATTATTACTAGCTGTTGCCATGCGACTTCATCCGCATAAAATTATGAAAATTTCATTTCATAGTTCACATGTCAAATGTCAAAATGACATGACAAGACAAACCTTGACAATCTTGCTTCCTTGATATTGGCAACAACTTATGGTCTCTTTCCCACATTAGGATTTTATCCAAAATATTTACCCTCTAAGTTTAATGGGGTGAAAATATATGGCTTAAAGCATGACGTAAGTGTAGGGCTTTTGATTAAAAAAAACAATTATTCAAAAATATGCTGTGATTGCTGACATCATAGGCAACAAAGAAGTGTGTGTTTACGCTTTATGATATTAGTATAGATATAGATAGAGTATAGATATAAATATTTTGTGGAAAGTTATATTTTTATTAATATATGTTCACAGAACGGCACTATGAAGCGCTACGCTATCTTCGGGTTGGTGTCGTCGGGTGTTGGTTGCGGGAAGAAGAATGTACCGGGAATATACTCGAATGTGCCTTACCTATACAGCTGGCTGATAGACGCTATGAACACCGAGAAATTACCAAGCAAGACATTTACTTATGTATAATTTACAATCACACCTTTGTTCCAAAACGTATTAAACTTTGACTATTCAATGACAGGACTTGTCCAGTAAACTATAGAATTGATCTGAGCCGGTGGGTATAAGCCAAAGTATATTATGATAGCTCACTAGCGCCCCCTGTCACAAGATTATTGTAGTCTTCATTTTTTACATTTACATACTTGTATACTAATATTGTAAAGAAAAATAACTCAAAAACTACTGGGACGATTTCTACAATTCTTTCACCATTACAAAGCTACATTTTCAATGAGTAACGTAGGCTATATTTTTTTATTTAACGCAGGCAAAGTTGGAAGCAACAGCTAGTTTTGTAATAAAGTGTTGGACTACAATTTCTAAACTTGCTCGTACAAGATCTTTTTAACACAAGTCTCTTTATTGTCAAAGATTCTGATACAGCGCCATCTATTGCACGGTTTATAAATTAATATTGGAAATTAGGGATCAAAAATATGTAATTGAATATATTTTTTTCTATCAATTTCGCTTAGTAACTGTAAGGGAATAAAGGTGCGATTTATTGTTTTACCTCACCGCTTTTCCACTAACCGAATAGCCAATTTTAGATACATCGGACTAGTGGAAATAGGGATTAACGGTTAACTAATCTATTTAGTTTTAAAGGTAAATAAGTACAATACTCTACTTATTTAAAATAAATGTTTGAAATAAATGCATGTTTCTGTAGTTTTCTTGCACCTTCCTTTCAAAATTTTTCATGTCCTGGCTTAAACCGGCAATAGGGAATATGCATGTATTTTTTTCTCTTTTTAAACGATTCCGAAAACTGACGCGAAAATATACAACCATTTAACTAAAAATAATAAAATAAAATTACGATCATTTTCGAGCGACTAAAACGCAACCGGAGTTGTCATGAGACAATTGACGTCAATCGTCTATTCCATTCATAACATACGCTCAGATGTGACTTCGATGTAAAAAACAACAAAGTATCTCGTTGCTTCTCAAGGTCAAAAAGTCAAAAATCGATTCATTTTTATTATTCCTGGTACAAATAAGTGGTAATTAATAATTCTATTCATTCATTTTTTATTTTAAAGTTGAACCGTGAACTGCTAATTTAGTTGAGCCGTAGCTCGGTACAAGGTTATGTGAGCCGATATTTGAAACCGGATTCAACCTCCTCTTCTACTAAATCGGATCTTATTATTGAACAAGTAAAATGAACCTTATACTAATACAATAGAGCTTAATTTTATTTGCGTTAAAATTCTGTGCTCTGAATGTTAGAATTTGTAAACTGCTGAACGGATCTCGATGAAATTTGGTATAGATGTAGAGGATAGTCTGGAAGAACACAGGCTACTTTCTTTTGTTTTTTTTTTAAATTCTAAGCTAACGGTGTCGCTAGAAAATACTTAAAATAGTAAAAATGGCTACAAAACTTAAGAAAATATCGCATTGGTTTTGATTTCATCAAAATTGAATAATGATTTAAAGTTAAGAGAGAGTTTTCTGTGGTAGAGAAGGTAGGGAGTAAAAGGTTAACATGGTATGTTATGAGGAGGGATGAATCGCATGTTACAAGGAAAATGTAAGGCCAATTCGAACGGAATCGCGGGCGGATGCTAGTATTTTATTAATGAAAGTCGACATAAGATAACACGCATTGTTGATGTTAACCTCAAAGATCAACAAAACAATTTTATCATCTGGAATTACCTCTTTACGATTAATTTATATTTTTTTTATAGAATGTTAATTGACTTCGCTCGGTCGCAGTAAACTGGGGCGATTCCCCATTATCTATTTCTCTATACTGGTAATTCCGTAAATAAAATACGTCACAATCTTACTAGCTTACTTCTTACTAATCTTACTAATCTTACTAATATTGCGAAAGTTTAGATGGATGGATGGATGAATGGATGTTTGTTAGCGTTTGTAGCCTAAACGGCTAAACGGATCTCCATGAAATTTGGCACAGGTTTAGAGCATAGTCTGGAAGAACACATAGGCTTTTTTATCCCTGGAATAATTACGGTTCACGTGGGATTCATTAATTTAGTTTTTTAATGTTTACTCGATCATTCTGCAACGGTTCAACATATCTTATTGAAATTTGGCACAGATATAAAACAAAGTCTGGAGTACACATGGGATAAGCTTCATCCCCGAGAAATGTCCGGTTCCCGAGGGATACGTAGCTTTTTGTAATTTATATAGTTTGTATATTTTCTAATACCACGCGTACGAAGTCGCGGGCAACAGCTCGTTAACAATAATTAAAATTTTTCATCAATAATAATATTCATCATCATCAACTTGCCCTTATCCCTTACAGAGGGTCGGCACAGTATGTGCTGCTCTTCCCCATTTCTATCAGCCGTCACAACTGAATCCACTCCTTTCTTAAGCATATCCTCTTTCACACAATCCATACTTTCTTCGGTCTTCCTCTACCTTTGTAGCCATCCACATTCAATCTTAACACTTTCTGGTTTATGTCCCCATCGTTTCGTCTATACTATTATAAAGAGGAAAGATTTGTATTTTTGTATGTATTCGATTTTAAAAATTCTTTCAACATTAGAAAGGTAATTTATCTGTGAGTAACATAGGCTATATTTTTTATTATTTTTTTAATATCACGGGAACTAAGTCGAGAGCACCAGCTATAATGTATAACGCTTTTCGAATATCTTGGCAACCCAAGGTTAACATCGCGCTGCGGATGCAACAATGTGTTCTGCGAACTCGAAGTGATTCGCATGAAGTCAAAAGTCGCGAAAACTGACACCCGTACGAGTAGTCTGACGCCTGCTATCTCTTATTATCACCTTGAATAAAGTGAGAGAACAGATAAGGGTGTGGTTACACAAGTTTTTTTCCGAATTGTATAAAAAATATATCATATTGTGTGCAGTCATTTACTTATCTCTTCTCGATACATTTATATACTTATATCTGAGTACATAACATGTAGTATGTTAACATCATTCTTACATACATGTGCAGTTTTTGTTAAATACTTTGTGATTTTTTTTATTTTTATATAAAATCGTATATAATCTGTGTACATATAATTCACTGAACCAAATCAAAATGTTGGTAAGTTTATCAAGAAAACGATTCAAGAAAAAGAGATTACTTTAAATAGAATCGAAATGTCCTTTTTTATATTATTTCTTTACTCTGATAAAATTTACTCACCCCTAAATGAAATAGCGTGAAAATATATAGCCTATGTCGTAAGTGTAGGGCTGTTTATGAAAAAGTATTGTTCAAAAACGTGCTGTGATTACTGACTTCCTACATAACAAAGTGTGTTTACGTTTTATTGACCGACTTCCCAAAAGAAGGAGGTACTCAATTCGTCTGTATGTTTTTTTTTATGTGTGTTACGGCATAACTCCGCCGCTAGTGGATCGATTTTGATAATTCTTTTTTTATTCGAAAGGTAATGCTTGCAGGTGGGTCCCAATTTTTTTGTTTGATTTTTGGAGTCTAAGACTACGACGTAGTTAAATAGTTTAGCTCAAATTCGCGCGACGAAATTTAGGGTCATTTTTACATTAGTAAGGAAAGGAAGGGATAAACTGAGAAAAGAGATTTTCTTTACCTATTCATTGTGGACGCCATCATTGTTTTAAAAATGGTTCCAGATTGAATATTGATATCAGCTGTTTGTATTTTTTGACCGACTTCCCAAAAGAAGGAGGTATTCAATTCGACGGTATATTTTTTTTTTTTTTTTTTTTTTTTTTTTTTTTTTTT